CTATAAACACTCTCTTGGATCCCGGAGGAGGACAAGCTGAAGCATCTCAGTGGCCATCATGTTTTGCCAGCGACCTTCCATGACACAAACCATTGCGCCAAGCAAAACGAGCGCGTTGTTTATTCTGAACCATATGTTGACTCAGCACGAAGCAGCACAAATATTTTTCTTGGCGAGCTCACTGCACTATGAAGCAGATGCTTCAAAACAATGTTCCTTTTTCCACACCAGCCTATGTCGAACAAGCCCAAGGGTTTACTTATTGGACGGCAGTGTTTAAAAAGCGTTGGATAAAATATTATGGTATACTACATACTAGACGGTTTAGAAAGATAAGCAGGTTTTTGATATGAAAACAAGAATATATGGTTCAAACGATAATGAGCTCAGAACAAGATTCTGATTCAGGACAGAGGAGTTTGTTTTGTTCTGTAGTGGGGAATCTCAGGCTCAGGAACTGAGTGTGGCCCCCCAGGCCTCTCTGCCTGGCCCTTGTGACTCTTCCCAGGCTTCACCCCCTCTGTGGCTGTTATCTTCCCCTCCTCAAATGTTTTTGCCTGGAAGTGTGCTAATGACTTTTGCTTGCGTAAGGTTAGGTGTGAGTGTCTGGAGGCAATTGGAGGGTGGATGGTGGCTAACGGATTGAGGTTGAATCCCAACAAGACAGAAGTATTGTTTCTGGGTCACAAGGGATGGGCAGGTGCGGGGATTCCCTGGTCCTGAATGGAGTAACTGTGCCCCTAAAGGATCAGGTGTGCAGCTTGGGAGTCATTTTGAAATTATAGATGTCCATGGAGGTGCAGGTCAATTCTGTGTCCAGGGCAGCTGTCTACCAGCTCCAAGCTGAGACCCTACCTGCCCACAGACTGTCTAGACAGAGTGGTGCATGTTCTGGTTATCTCCCGCTTGGACTACTGCAATGCGCTCTACGTGGGGCTACCTTTGAAGGTGACTCGGAAACTAAAACTAATCCAGAATGTGGCAGCTAGACTGGTGACTGGGAATGGCCGCCGAGACCATATAAGACCTAAAAGACCTACATTGGCTCCCAGCATGTTTCCAAGCACAATTCAAAGTGTTGGTGCTGATCTTTAAAGCCCTAAAATGGCCTCGACCCAGTATACCTGAAGGAGCATCTCCACCCCCATTGTCCAGCCTGGACACTGAGGTCCTCCTCCAAGAGTCTTCTGCTGGTTCCCTTACTATGAGAAGTGAAGTTACAGGGAACCAGGCAGAGGGCCTTATTAGTAGTAGCACCCTCCCTGTGGA